TCTCTCTCTCTCTCTCTCTCTCTCTCTCTCTCTCTCTCTCTCTCTCTCTCTCTCGCTCTCTCGCTCTCTCGCTCTCTCGCTCTCTCGCTCTCTCGCTCTCTCTCTCTCGCTCTCTCTCTCTCTCGCTCTCTCTCTCTCGCTCTCTCTCTCTCTCTCTCTCTCTCTCTCTCTCTCTCTCTCTCTCTCTCTCTCTCTCTCTCTCTCTCTCTCTCTCTCTCTCTCTCTCTCCCTCTCTCTTTCTCTCTTTCGCGTTAATTCTACAAATCGTCGAATGCTTTAGGGAGATCCTCTGGCACAAAGAACGAACATGGCGACGAACAATACTGAAACGGACGATAAACAGGGAGACAGGGCGACTGCGAGAGAAACGGCGGAGGACCGACCACCGAAGCAACAGCCCGAACAGTTCGAATCCCCGGTGGCGCGGTTTCGAAGCCTCGTTCGTTCCTCGTGGAAGTCCTTCTCCTACGACCACCACGCCAACCTGCAGCGCCTCCGCCAGGACGCCACGGACTGCGCGGCCGCCTTCCTGCTCTCCTGCCTCTTCTGCCTCGCCTGCGCCGCCTCCTTCACCGTCATCGAGGGAGGCCACCAAGAGGAACTCCGCGCGTCGAGGGAGAGCGAGAGGGAAGAGGTCCTCGCCCGGATCCTCCTGCAGGAGAGGGAGACCGTCGAGGAGCTGTGGCGGGCGGCGCAGGAGGCCACGCCCGAGGAGGAGTGGAAGGGCGTGGCCATGCGGAGGCTGCGGGAGGCCAACGAGGCCGCCGCCGCGCTGCGGGGGTGCGGGGAGGGGGGGCCTCCTGAAGGGGACGACTGGGGGATCGTCAATAGCTTCGTGTACACGCTGACGGTCACCACGAGCATTGGTGAGTCTCTGGCGCCGCCCCTCGTTGCCTTGGGGGGGAGGGGGAGGGAGGGTAATGAGGGGTAATGATCATTGTTTGGGGGAATGAGGATTCTCTCTCTCTATCTATCTATCTATCTCATTCTCTCTCTCTCTCTCTCTCTCTCTCTCTCTCTCTCTCTCTCTCTCTCTCTCTCTCTCTCTCTCTCTCTCTCTCATTCTCTCTTTCATTCTCTCTCTCACTCACTCCCATTCTCTCTCTCTCACTCTCACCCTCCCTCTCTATCTATTTATCTATCTATCTCTCCCTCCCTCTCTCTCCCTTTTTTATATATGTTTGAATGTTTTTTTTGTTTTTTATTTTTATTCCTATGATTTTTTTTCCTTCTCTTCGGATATTCCTGTAAATGATTTTTTTTTTCGTGTTTTAATTCTTCCTCTTTATGATTGCGATATTAATATACATTTTGATAATTACAAACGTATTGTTATCAATTAATTTTCAGCGAACACATCCTAGCAAATATAAGTTACATCCTGTTACCTTTTTTTCTTATTTTTATGACGTTGATTGCCTTGTAATGTATTATTTATATGTTGATGTGATAATGTAAATTTCATCTTTTTTCAGGTAGTTGTTAGATGATTGTATTGTGTCTCATCCAGTTTATCTATCTGTCTGTCTGCCTATTTATCTATGCATTTTTTTATTTTAGTTTCTCTCTCTCTCTCTCTCTCTCTCTCTCTCTCTCTCTCTCTCTCTCTCTCTCTCTCTCTCTCTCTCTCTCTCTCTCTCTCTCTCTCTCTCCCTCCCCCCTCTCTCCCCTCTCCTCTCTCTCTCTCTCTCTCTCTCTCTCTCTCTCTCTCTCTCTCTCTCTCTCTATATATATATATATATATATATATATATATATATATATATATATATATATATGTATATATATATATATATATACATATATATATATATATATATATATATATATATATATATATATATATATATATATATATATATATATATGTATATATATATATATATATATATATATATATATATATATATATATACATATATATATATATATATATATATATATATATATATATATATATATATATATATATATATATACATATATATATATATATGATTTTTTTTCTATTTCATTTGGTCACCCATGCCATCCAGCTCACACAATAGATTCACCCAAGCTCGCTCCACACCACAGCACTCCTCATCCAACTCATCCGTCAAACCCACACACTCACCCACCTACCCACCTCACCCACGCAACTCATCCACCTGACCCACACAATCACCCACCAAACTCCCCCACACACTCACCCACACACTCCCCCACATACTCACCCTCCAAACTCCCCCACACACTCACCCACCAAACACCCCCATACTCACCCACCAATCTCCCCCACACTCTCCCCCACACACTCACCCACCAAACTCACTCACCAAACTCACCCACCAAACTCACCCACACCAAACTCACCCACACACTCACCCACTCCCTCACCCACACCAAACTCACCCACCAAACTCACTCACCCACTCCCTCACTCACACATTCACCCACCAAACTCCCCCACACCAAACTCACCCAACGCCCCGTTCTCTCTCCCCCTTTCCTCCGCCAGGCTACGGCCACATCGCCCCGAGCACCAACGCCGGCCGCGCCCTCACCATCGTCTACGCCATCCTGGGCATCCCGATCTTCCTCATCCTGATGGCGGACTTCGGCAAGCTCTTCACCCGTCTCCTGAAGGCGCTGTTCGTCTTCGTCAAGAGGCTCTACCGGACGGCGACGTGCAAGCGGTTCAGGAAGACGAAGCAAGTCCAGGCGATTAAGGTTGGTTGGTGGTGAGGGGGAGGGTTGGTAAGGGGGGAGAGGGGTGGGAAGGGGAGGGGGAGGGGGATGGAAGAGGGGGAAGGGGAGAGGGGAGGGAAGGGAAGGGGAGGGGAAGCAGATCTAGGCGATTAAGGTTGGTAGGAAAGGAGTTGGTAAGGGGGGAGAGGGGAAGGGGTAGGAAAAGGGGAAGAGGGGAGGGAAGGGGGAAAGGGGTGGGGAAGAGGGTGTGGGGGGAAGGAAGGGGGAAGGGAAGGAGAGGGAAGGGGAAGGGGTGGGGGGAGGGGAAGACGAAGCAGATCCAGGCGATCAAGGTTGGTTGTGAGGGAAGAGGGATGGGGGGAGGGGGGGGAAGGGGGAAGGTATGTGTGTGTGTGTTTGTGTGTGTATGTTTATGTATTCGTGTGCGTGTTTTTTTATATATATACATTGATGATCGGGCATCCACAAGCCTAAAAAAAATCAAAAAAGGATTTTATATAAGTGGGCCGACCACAGAAGTCTATACCTTGTGACTTTTTTTTATAAATTCAAAAGAGAAAGAAAAAAATTTATAAAATGAAATTAGCAAGAGACAAAATCTAATTAGACATCTCTTTATATGCAGGTAAGTGTTTTTCGCGATATCACTAATAATGAATTTATGACTTCAATATTACTAATAATTATCCTTGGGACACTTAAGAAAGGATTTTTAGATATTTTTTTTGTGATACAATAATTAATAATAGGTTTATGCTTATTGAGTGCTGTGTCATGTGTCAAGTGTGTCATATAGTGTCGTATGTCATAAAACCTTTTTTGATACCGCGTGTGTTGTAATTTTTTTATTAACTTTTTAGAGTTTGATAATAACAGAGTGTGCTTATTAACATGTTTTCCTCCCCCCCCCCCTTGTCCTTCCTTATTCTTTTTTTCCCTTCTTCCTTATCCTCATCGTTTTCCTTATCCTACTTCCTCAAATTCTTTATCTTCATCTACTTCCTTGTCCTTCTTCCTCCTTCTATATTTTCCGTTTAATTTCTCTTCTTTTCACTTTCCCCCTCCCTCTATTTTTCTCTTATTCTCTTCTTTATCACTAAATTCCCCCTCTGTCTACCTCCCTATTCTTCTTCTCATCCTTCTCCTCCTCTTCCTCTTCCTCTACATCTCCTTCTTTCTCTCCTTCCGCTCCCCCCCCCCCCCCACTCTCTCTCTTCTTCTTTCCTCTTCCTCCTCTAATCACCCCTTCATCCTTCGTCCTCACCTACCCCCCCCCCTTTTCTATCTCTTTTCTTCCCCCCTCCCCCCTCCCCCCCACCCACTTCTCCCCCACTCCCCCTCCCTTACCTCTCCCTCCTCTACCCCCCCTCTTTCCCCCCCCCCAGTGCCCTCCATGCCGCTCCTCCCCCGCTCCTTCCCCCTCCCCCTCCTCCCCCTCCTCCCCTCCCCCCCAGCTCGTCACTAACGTCGTACCCCCCACACCCCCTCTGGATACCCCCACCCCTCCCCTGGCCATCCCCGAGTCGACCTCCGCCGACTTCGACAAGCAGCTCGAGGTCGAACTCAAAAATCGCTTGTCCTCGAAACGCGCTTTCCACGAAGAGAAAGGAGGGAAGGACAAGAAGAAAAAGGAGGAGGAGGAGGAGGAGAAAGAGAAAGAGGAAGAGGAAGAGGGAGAGGAAGATGAGCCTCGATATTGCTGTTTTTCGGTAAGTTTTCTGTTTTCTTTTTCGTGTGTTTTTTTTTCGGTTTGTGTTTGTGTAAGGAGAGAAAAGGGACGAAGAAGAAAAAAGGAGGAAGGAGGAAAAACAGAAGCGGAAATGGCAGAGGAAGTAGAACATCGCTATTGCTATTATTATTTCTTTCTTTCTTTCTTTCATTCTTTCTCTCTTTCTTTCTTTTTCATCATGAGGCTTTCTGCATATGTTAGTTGTTTTTTTTGTGTGTGTGAAAGTCTGCTAGTTTCGCTTCCTGCTCATAGATGGCGTTGGGAAGAAGTTTCCCGTTTTCTTTACTTCTCAGGGTTTTTTTCCACACTCTTCTGGCGGTATTTTTTTCTTTACTTTTTTCACTTTTTATTGGTATTTTTTTCTTTTGTTACTGTCATTCATTTTTGTGTTTCTTTTTTTTCATGTTTTCCCCTCCTTTTTCACGATTTTTTTGTGGCTGTGTCAGCTCGTTATCTTCCTTTTTTTGTTATTTGCTGCTGACTTGTTAGACTAATTAATTTTATATTTCTGTCATGTTTTTTTCTTCTTCTTCTACTTCCTCTTCTTATTCTTTTTCTTCCTCTTCTTCCTCTTTTCTTC